CGTCGTGGTCCGACTTTCCGGATAACAACATTGGTTTTCTGAATCCATATCACAAATCTCTGAAACTTCATGATGACGTAATACGTAGAAACAAAACTTTTTTCTTGCTTATAAAAAAAATCCTCGAAACAAATGCTTTGTTTAGTAGACTAAAACTATATAATCGCTTTCTTTTATTATACTTGATAATTTATCAATATAACAGTAACTTGATCCGAAGAGCTATATCACGTCGAGTTGAACTCGACATGATACAGCTCTTCGGATCATTACTGTAATATTGATAATTTATTAATCTATCATGGATTTTGCATTTAAAAATGGACAAATTAAAGTGACATGTTTTCATTTGGATATTTTTATTTCAAAGATAATGATACAATGGAAAAATAGCTTTTTAGGGATTATTCAGTTTCTTCTTGAAGGAAGCCAGCAATTTTTTGACATCCAAAGAAGCAAGCAATCCCATATTCGAACAGACACCCAAATCATTCAAACGATCTCCATGCCTTTTCTGCAAAATAAAGCGTTGTGCTGTATAGATCCTTTATTTTAATAAATCGCTGGCCAACTGTTTATTATTATACTTAAGGATTATTTATCTGCACATCTATATACGCTTTTATGCTGATATGGCATGGTAATTCAAGTTTTCCACTCGGCAAATAGAGTTTTGATGTTGTTTACAGAGATAAAAGAAAATAAAGACAAGAATGTCATATATGCACATCTGATTGTAAAAGACATTGGTAATAATCAGTATACCCGTGTGTTTCCTCTGAAAGTGTAAATGAGTGCGATCCCGAGCAGGGGCACTCTATATAATGCAGAGATTGATACATTGTGTTATTATATACTATGGGTTATGGAGGATGTCTTGGATGATCTCCTTAATTAGTAGATATTCTTTCGTGAGGGAAATTGTTTTTGTAGTTTCATCTAAATTAAAAACTTTATCATTTTTTTTGTTGGAAACTTTAAGAATAAGAAAATAATGATAAAGATTCCCGCTTTCATGAAAATATAAAATATCGTTTACGTTTACTGCGATTAAATTCTTGTTTTTTTTATTATTAGCGAACAACTACTTTACGATTCCTCAATTCCTGCTGATTTAAACTTATAGTACCAAGAAACAAATCATTCATAGTATTTGTTTTCAGTATGGTAAAATTATTGAAAATGACTTTTAAATTATGTGCTAACTGTCGTAAATATCATATAAACGACAATGTAGTCAAAGAAAAAAGTTGAAGAGAGAATGAAATTGAATTGTTGGTATAAATAGACATTGTGGGCAAATATAACGAATAGTTATTTTTAAAAATAATAACAAGTGACTAAATGAAACAAAAATTAAATGTAATGTAAAAAAAAAAAAACAGTATCCAAGAGAATATACAAATACAATGCACATTTTAATCTCCTAATTCTAATAAAATTTATCGATTATTTAAAAGTTATACAATTAATACATGTAATTAAGCATAGACACTAAAGATCATCCATTTTTTGATATACAAAACATATACAAAATGTATAAGTACTTGCGCTATTATTTTTTGTCAAACGGAGTATACATACTCTCACAACGTTTCCCGCAATATCCCTTTTTGCAGATACATGTTGGATAGGGATTCCCATCAAATCCACAATAACCATGGTTACATCCAGAATTCTCCTTGTTCACAAAATCACACTCGGCTAAATGTTTGTTAAAGATATTAAAAGGGGTGATAAGAAACTAAAGTTTGAATCACAGTTGCTATAATATGTGTTAGAGTAATGGTCCCTTAACGTATGTCACTTTTGTGACCTTTTTGCAATTGTAATTCTTTGGTTAATCATTTCATTCTTTATCATCTTTAATCTGATGTACTTTTGGCAATAAATAAAATCTTATTTTTCGTTAAGTGGTTTGAAAAATATTGATCATTGAATAAATCATGCAAAATAATAATCAGAAATTTTTCTGTTACCTTTTTGCACTAAATAAGTATCATATTTGTGGTATAACAATTCAAATAGGCAATAATTATTTTAATAACCAACTTGTGATCAATTTAATGCTGATTGGTTGGAAGTATCTTGTTGTTTAAAATAATAGAAGAAAAAGTTGGAGTCTGTGATGTAAATTTTGAGATATTGGTCAAAAGGTGCGATTTTCAGGCAAAAAAGGCGTACATTTTATCTTGAGGTCTTTAATTCTTTAATATATCTTCATTTCTTGGCAAATTTTGTGGAGTGAATGTTTAAAATGTGTTCGAAAGATATAATATGATGCCTTTATTTAATATTCCTAGCATATCATAACGAAAAATATTCTCAATGTAAAAACACGTGGGACTTAAGTTCCAAAATATTAAATTTAACAAGTGAATTTTCATTTAAATGTCCTTCAACAACAGGAAAAAAAGTCTCTCATAAATATTGCATCTTTATGAATTTAAGAAAAGTTTTTAATTGGATAATAAGTTGAATAATAAGTTTAAATTAAATATGTTAAAAGTTGAATTGTAATAAATATTTATAAAGTTTTAGGCTCTGACTGAACTTTTCTAAACGTTGACGAGTGATATACATTAAAGATAAAATCAGTAACCTTGTACAGTCTTTTGAAGAAAGGTACTATTAAAAAAGAAACGTGAGTGAGTGAACAATTTAATAAACAATAGTATCGATTGCAATGAGCGTACAAGTACATGTATTGTATCAAGCTGATTTTCGAGGACTTTGCATTGTAGAAAGAACATTTTTTTGCTAAATTCTTATAATTGGTTACCTAGACAGCCTTGTACTCGGAAAGGTAAAGGCCAGAACAAGAACCCATCCTTGCATGTACAGATGGATGAGGAAGGGTCATCTGGATTGAGTCTACATTCCGTGTTAACAAATTCGCCACAATCGGAGTCTGTCGTACATTCCGGAAATGGTTTGACGGCAACTATTTCTTGACCTTGGACGGGTAAAGAAATAAGAACATTGGAAACACCCAGGAGGAAAACCTAAAAAGGTTATTTAAAGAAAATAAGTTTTAAATATTGTTCATTTTGCCACTTGATTCTTTTTTTTACTCTTCAATGCAGAAGATCTTCGTTTAAGAAAAAAAAAATTCAAAAAGTCAATAAGAAACTAAAATAGTTTAATTCTAATTTTATAGTTTATTACAGTTTTTCTGCATTTCAAAAAAAAATACTGAGTTAATTCCAAGTTTTTTCCCTCTTACCAATGCATTCATTCCTTTCATCTTTTTTCTCTTAGTAAACCGGGATTTTCTGGAATATAGGCCCCACTTGTATACAGCTGTATTTATGGTATATCAAGTATATTAAACCCTGTGTAACGATTGTTTACAATTACATTTTCAACCAATGAGGACATTCATAATATTTAATCAAGATAATGATTGACACGTTGAATATGTCTACCAAGATATCCGCACAGTCAGTACAGGTCTGGGATTTGTTTTATAAAGAAATTCAGTACAGGGTTCTCTGAAATTAAAAAAAAATCTATTTCAATATATGACCAACAAGTTATGTCTCGATAGGTATTGGTAGTATAGCTTTTAAAAAAAAAACTTCTGTGACGTCTGTTATTTCCCTTGGGGTATCAAAAGAAATTGAAAAATAGCCTTAAAGTCAGAAATATGAAATTATACTTGAAAGTATTTCAAAAAGTAATTTTAAATTTGTATTTTAAAATTTATTAATTTCAATTTACATCTTGACTTTTTAGCTCACCTCAGCCGAAGGTTCAAGTGAGCAATTTTTAATCAAAATTTGTCCGTTGTCTGTCGTCATCGTTGTTGTCGTTGTTGTAAACTTTTCCAATTTTCATCTTCTACTCAATAACCGCTGGGCCAATTTCAACCAAACTTTCTTCAAAGTATCCTTGGGTGAAGGGGATTCAAGTTTGTTTAAATGAAAGGCAACGCCCTTCTCTAAGGGGATATAATTATGAATCAGTGATAAATTAATGGTATCTTTTAAAACTCTTCTTCTCAAGAACCACTTGGCCAGGAAAGATGAAACACCTGTAGAAGCATATCCTGGTAGTGAAGAGACAAGTTTGTTTAAATCATGACCCCCGGGGTAGGATGGGGCCACAATTGGGTATCAAAGTTTAACATTGGAATACATTGGAAAATCATAAAAAAAAACTTCTTCTCAAGAACCACTGGGCCAGAAGCATCCTCGGGTTAGGATGTGAAAATTAAAGTTTGATCAAATTACGACGCACGGGTGTAGGGTGGGACCACAATGGGGTATCAAAGTTTAACATAGGAATACATAGGAAGAATCTTTAAAAATCGTCTTCTCAAGAGTTTAACATAGGAATACATAGGAAAAATCTTTCATAATCATTTTTCTCAAAGACAGCAAAGCCGTGATCGTTATAGTTATATGGAAGCATCCTCTGAAAGTGTAGATTCAAGTTTGTTCAAATCATTATCCTCGGGAGTAGGGGGCACAAGGGGGATCAAAGTTTAAGATAGGAATGCATAAGAAAATCATTAAAAATCTTTTCAAGAACAGCACAGCCATGATTGGTCATAGTTATATGGAAGCACCCTCTGTAGTGAAGATTCAAGTTTGTCAAATCATGAACCATGGGGCAAGGGTGGGGTCATATTGCGTGATCAAACTAGGATTACATAGAAACAATCTTTTAAAATCTTCTTGAAAACAGCAAAGTTGTGATTGGTCAAATGGATGCATCCTCGGGTAGTGTAGATTCTAGTTTGTTTAAATCATGACTCCCTGGTTTATAGTGGGACCAAAATGGGACGTCAGAGTTTTACATAGGAATACATGGGAAAAATCGTTAACATTCTTCACAAAGTCATGATAGATAATCAATTTAAAAGCAAAATTAAATTGGATCATAACGGTAAACAATAGAGCCATTATGTGTAATAGTATTTGAAAAGCATTCTTAGGAAGCGTAGATTTAAGTTTGTTCAAATTCAAAGATATGACCTAACAATTAGTATGAAAAATGTCAATAAACAATTGACTTAATGAAAGATTGTATTTACCATCAAGGTCACGATATTGACCAATTTGCCAAATGGTGAAATCAAACGAGATTGTTGGTGTCCTTGTTTCGTTAATACCTTAACCCTTTGAAAAAAAATATCATTTGTACATGTAGAGCGTGCTCTTGAGCATCGAATCAACTTAGACAATAAATATGCGAAGGTGTAATGAAACCAGAAAATCAGATTATCGAATCATTAACTTCGAGTTACAAATGCTCACAGAAATAATTCCAAATTTTGCACACATTTTGACTCTTGCCCAGATTATATTATCCCTAGAACCAATATGTACGCATTTATTTCTTCTGTCTGTGTCAACCCCAACGAAGTTCAACTTGATATGAAAGATAGAAAGAAATTTTATCCAAAAATTAATCTTAATGTAAGTTTTCAATGAGCAATTGTGACATACCTAACAGATACACAGTCATGAGAAGATGCAAAGATTCCTATCTGTATCAACCAGAACTAACTACTGTTTGCTTTAATAAATGTCGTTCACCTGAAAGTGCTTTGACAGAATACTATGGTTTGATACTAATTGTTAGACTATTATTAACAGGTTGAATTGTCTAGTCTATGGGTTTTCCTGTTATTTCCTGATCATGACAAGAAGCACACAGCAGGCGTGACCGGTCCACATTTCACCCTTTCTCACCTCTAATGTTCCAGTTGTCCGTGTTTTCTCTGTTTCTGATTTGTAATATTGAATGAACTTTGAGCTTGAATACTGTTCGGTATCTCCATATATTATACAATTAATTAGCCCTTTTGAGGTCAACATGGTGAAATAAGGACCCGAGACCTGGCCCAAAAGGTGACCTGACCTAACCGAGGCCGCGTAGCGTCCGAGGTCAGGGCAGGTCATCAAGTGGACCAGGTCGAGTGAGCCAGTGGGCCAGCTCCGTATAGTGAAGTTGTTTACATTGACATCTGCAAGTCTGAAGTCGTGTAAGTTTTTGCATCATGATTTACTGATTAAAACAATATTTGATTGATAGCGACATTCATTGTTATAACTAACGATTACTTTTCCTCTACACAGTAAAAATCTAACACAGAAATCATCTCTTTAAATGGCCGCTTCTACATTCCATTGAACTGAATTGTAACGCTATTTTTAAATGGGTTCACCGTTTAAGTTAACGATAAAATTTTACCATATTCTGTATGGTAATGTAAAACAGACCATGCAGAACTTTAAAAACATTTTGTTTTTCTCGAATAATTAGTATTTTATGCATTAAGGTTCATAAACTCTCTTCTCACTCATATGAAATTTTTCTTTAACTTTTATGATTTTCCAAAGGAAATGTATATGCTGAATAAAATACTAATAATAACAATTATAGCATGGCTTGCGGGGCAAAATTTGACAAAAAAGGCACTTAAACTTTACAAATTAATAAAAGGAATAAAAGATATTTGTGTCATTAAGAGTTATCCCTCTTATCAGAATATCAATGTACCTTAACTTCACTCAAAAAAGAATTTTTGATTCAGAGGTCATTATTTAGCGGTCATTAATAATAATGACCGGGTCATTATATCCCACATGCAATGATTCCTAGGTCATTATTGCTGTAAACAGTATCATTTGGAGTCATTGTTGTGTTTTAAAGTTTTCTTACCAGCGAATCAAATTCGAGTATTATCAATAGAGGTATAATAATATACAATTATGGACTCTTTTGGTGTTGAATATGGTTTGTTACTCACCAGAAAAATATTCATATTGACCGAGGCGAAGCATATATATTTTCATATTTCTGACTTATACACATACAAAGGCTGTGCTCAAAGGTAAAATGGTTAATAAAATGAATGACTATATAGTCTATTCATAGTCCCTATATAATCTATACAAACGCAAACAGTTCATAACACTATTTATTATATAGTCTATTTATAGTCCCTATATAATCTATACAAACGCAAACAGTTCATAACACTTCATATTCACCGGATTTGAGGCCGTATTCACCGGTTGGTCAATGCGCGTGCAACGGCATTGTGACATCACAATCAAAATATCAAACAACGTTGTAAACGATGGTTGCAACGGCCGCAGCGAGCTACGTATCTGTGCAGGAAAACAATTATTCAAACCTATTTCAGGATTATTTTTTAACATCTGGACGTCTTACACATAGCGAAACTTGGAAAGGAAAACACCGAGGCTACAAACAGTAATCTGGAGATTTTTTTTTATTTTCAACAATGGAAGATCGCAAATGAAAATGGTGTCGTCATACAGCTTTCAATGTCTTATCTATTCAAATCCCGACTATATAATAAAACAGTTATGGACTCTTTTGGTGTTGAATATGGTTTGTTATTCACCAGAAAAATATCCATATTGACCTCGGCTTCGCCTCGGTCAATATGAATATTTTTCTGGTGAATAACAAACCATATTCAACACCAAAAGAGTCCATAATTGTATAATATTCACCGGATTTGAGGCCGTATTCACCGGAGGGTCAATGCGCGTGCAAAGGCATTGTGACGTCACAATCAAAATATCAAACAACGTTGTAAACGATGGTTGCAACGGCCGCAGAGAGCTACGTATCTGTGCAGGTAAACAATTATTCAAACCTATTTCAGGATTATTTTTTAACATCTGGACGTCTTACACATAGCGAAACTTGGAAAGGAAAACACGGAGGCTACAAACAGTAATCTGGAGATTTTTTTTTATTTTCAACAATGGAAGATCGCAAATGAAACTAGTGCTAATTGTAACTGGGACCGTTACAGATGTTCCCCAAACGCTCCCAGAATCCCTTTTATAGTCATATTCCCCGAAAGCGTAATTAAATAAGACAAACTTTATGCATTTGAGACTTTAACAACGTTTACCCAGAAGTGTACCATGTTCATTAAAATTTTATCACAGGTGAATGCATGTGCGTAATGACCATATCATATTGTCTATACAATCTATATATTTTAATATGCTAAATATTAAAGTATTTAATCCAAAAGTATTAAAAAACCGCTCATTCAAGTGCATTTTTGATTTTACCCATTTCACGTGCACGCACGTGCATACATAAGCATGGTGACCATACCTTCTTGTAGAAGTCCATTACATCTATCTATGTTCTAAATCCCACCCCGTTTGGTTGAAAACCAAGGGAGTTATGGCTGTTTAAAGTTTCAGCCAATCAGATTGCAGCATTTGTACACGCACGTGCATGCATGTGCATGGTGACCATACCTTCTTGTAGAAGTCCATTATATATATCTATGTTCCAAATCCCATCCAGTTTGGTTGAAAACCAAGGGAGTTATAGCTATTTAAAATTTCAGCCAATCAGTTTGCAGCGCACGTGCATGCACGTGTTTTCATGATAATTGGTATATATCATTTTGTAGG